TACAAATTTCCGATGAACTACTAACTTAACTACAATACGCTAATATTAGCACTAATTTCACGAGCCATGGGAAGCTAGGAATCACATATGCATGAACAAGAATATCCGTCCGAAACATTCCTCTGTTTTGTTGCCAGAACTGTTCTGTTTTACAGTCAGAAAATTAAATTGTTTTCACTCCAGCCTTTGCTCTGTTCTGCAATGAAAATGGCACTGCTGGTCTAAAATGAGATGGCCGACCGGCGTTGAAAAGTGGTCGGCCGGATGGTTAGGTGGCCGGTCGGCCACTATTTTTGGGCTCTGCCCTGCTGCCATAGAAAAGAAATAGAGAACAAATAGAGTATTTTAAGGGGATGTTTGTTCTTTCTGCCTGTCCTTATCATTAAAAAGATCAAAGGAGGGGTAGACTCGTTTCACAAATCATCAATTGACGCAAACTCGTTGCGTGGTGGTCTATGAACCAGCAGGACAAAGTCTTAATGAATGAAAATAAAAGACCAATAAAATCTCCTCCTTATCATTGAGTTACCTTAAGGGAAGTGGTAGACCTTGATTCTTGAACCATTTTCATCATTAAAGAGTACGAAATGATTTCAAGACTCAATGGGTTCAATTAACGTCTGATTGAACCCAAACCAATTTTATTACTCTTGTTACCATTTTAGTCCAATTTTATTAGTCTTTTTTAATTACCTTTTCATTCTTTAACTATTTAGTCCAAAAATGAGAATTAAGTCCACTAAATGGGGGGAAGTGTCAAACAAGAAGTTGTTCTTGACATGAGAGAGATGTAATGCCCTGGTAATGAACTTCTGAAGAGATTAAACCATTAAGCATGGAAGGTCTCTTTCTCATGTTTAAACAACTATTGTTTGAAACAACTCTTAAACAAAGTAAACCAAGATAGGAAGGAGGTTGCAGAAATTATTATTACAAGTGTGAGGAAATGTATGAAAACTATGAAATAAAAGCTATCAACTCAAATAGGATAGTGTCTAATGCCTAAACCACCAAACCTATGAGGACTTACAACACTATAAGCATGATATTCAAAGCATAACTAAATAAACACATCAAAATAGTCCCCAAAACAACCAAAATAGTGCTGGAATTAGTATGAAAAGCTAGAAAAAGTGAGCTAAAGTAGGAGAGAAATAAAGCTAGTAAGCAAGCCTAGGGAGGGGTGGCTAACCCCTCCACTTTTTGGACCTCAAAACCACATATTTTAGCCTTTTTAAACTCCGAAAATCAGTGGCCAAAAGTTAAGAAAGAGATGGGAAACACAAGGACAAAAGCTTAGAGAACAAGGTTCAAAGAAAGGTGGGTAACCCCTCCACCTTTGGTAGCTTTAAGTCACAAGTTTTAGCCCATAAAAATAGTCAAAAAATAATATAGAAACAACAAGAAAAGAGAAAGAAGAAGTAGTAGTGTAAAGAGGGCCAAAGCTATACCTCTTGAAAATGAGTAACTCTTTGATTCACAAACCAACAAGTGATCACCCTCAATAGCTGAAATTTTTGCTCAAGAACCTCAACAAGGAGCAGCAAATATTTGTTTGAGGAAATGTTAGTGTTGGTGTAGTGTATGTGTGTTGCAGGATAAAGAGAGAGAGTGTGTGTGTTTTTCAAGAATTTGAGCTTGGGTAATTTTTTCTAACCTAAAACCATAAGGGATACTCAAGTATATATAGAAAAATAGGTTGCCATCTCTAAAATATCTGTATTGAGCCAGCTGGTGTAGTGCATGCACATGGGGGGACAACTGGCAACAAATATCTGCTCTACAGGAAAACTAGGCCGGCCGGCCAGGTAAAGGATAGCTGGCCACTAATTTCTGGCCAGTGGGCCACTTGTTGGCCACTAGGCCCTTGGGTGGTCAGGCTTAGAAAAAATAGGTTTTGGTCCAAAGGTGGTGCAAGATTCTAGGCTCTGAAACTCAAGAACCGAGGCTTCTAGCTGAGAAAATTGAGCATATGTATAGCGTAGTATTTTATCATCAGGTGATCAACCTAAGGTGCCCAAGTCTTAAGGGCGGTAAAAAATGGGGTGTCTACAATTGCCCCTTTGACAGAGCTCGAAGTCATAAAATGACGTGAGTGAATGCCAAAGACCAAAGATGACCCATTGGACACGGTCGCAAGACTTGGGCAAGAAATCAAAATGCAAATGCAATGGTTGAACTCGAAAGTTGCCTACGTATCCCATTGCAAGGAATCAAACCAGCGTAGTTCAGGGGTAGAATGTAAAATGATACACATTGTAACGAAATAATAAAACCATAAGTAGTGCAAAATTGTGTCCTGATTTTCGTGCTCCTTTCAGATACAATTAGCCCTATAGTTCGGACTCCGGTGGTTCTGCATCTGATTTCACAAGTGCAATGTGAAATAGTGAAAACATAAAAAGAGTCCAAATCTGGCAATTCTTTTTGAAAAATCGGAGTTTGAATTAAATGCCAAAAATGGACTACTTTGCCAGATTACAGAGTCACCACCTAAATATATTTGGGAAATTTAAGAAACCCGAGACTCTTGCCAAAGGCCACTTAACCGTCATCACCAAAGTTTCTCGGCTCAGGAACTTAGATATGAGAGGGGAAGGTCATGAATTGAGCATCCCACTCACCCGATCAAAGATCGGCCTCTACTAATCATAATGTGATTTTTATTTACATTATATGCTCTTGTTCCAATTATTAAGTTAACATTACTACGTGATGCACGCAAGTATAGACTAATTTGAAAAAATTGGAACGCTTTGACTTCATGTTTGTTTGAAAATTGTTTTTGATACTCGTCACTTGAAAACGTGAGTTCGTACATTAAGGAATTTGTCTGAATTTTAGCAATTAGCCTTTATCCACTGGCATTAAAGTAGATATATCATTTAAGCAATTAGCGTCATGGAAAGCATGCTTGATATGGCAATAATCACACACAATGCAAGATGCTAAAGTAATAAGTGCTCACCTAGTACTCCAAGGCAAGCCGAACAAAGCAAAATAATTAGAAAACATGCATGTTCCTAAACGATACAATATGATTAATGCAACGTACACATTTATGCAATTTTAAATAGGCTCGGCTATGAGCATGGTATATGATCCAATTCAAGACATGTGATAAATCACGTATTCAAGCAATAAAATTGAATTTTTGACATTGGTTAGCATGATGAGCCGAACCCAAAAGCAAACATGAGAATGCTAAGTAAATATGACGCTCTATGCTACCATCATAAGCGGGGAAATAAAAGGGAGAAAAAAATGGGGGTTAGAAGACATACACCATTATTACATGTTCACCTTGTGCAAAAAGGTGCGAATAAATGTCCGAGTGTTCGAATTAAGCTAACTATTACAAATTCAAATGAATGAATTGAGCTAAACTAAAAGAGGTATGTGAGAATTATTGTGCTTAACTTAGAATACAAGTATTCTTGAGTGTGGATTCTGACTTGTCCGTCGGAGTGCTAATTCCGGCACCCCCGACCGGAGTGTTTATTCCTTTTCAGGTGACCAGAAGAGGATCACGAGCGTTCTCTAGGATCAGAAGAGTATTTCCAAACCACTTCTCCACATCTATCTTCTATGGTCAACATCTCGCTAGGAGTGAAGATGTATCCAATTATTATCGAACAGAAATACATGTCAGCTTATGAGACCATTGCCGCAATAGATGAAGTGCAAGACAAAAACCCCTGGTATTACGATATTTGGAACTTTCTGGAAAATGAGATGTATCCACCAAGGGCAAATGCTAAGGATAAACGGGGAATACGACGTCTGGCCATCCAATTTATCATCTAGGAATGCACAAGCTGTGTGTAAAGGAAGACGAATCGAAACGTCTTATGGAGGCTATCCACGGAGAAGAGTGTGGGGCACATATGAATGGTGTGATGCTAGCCCAAAAGATCCTCAGACAAGGTTATTGGTCAACGATGGAGAAAGATTGCGTTAGTTTTGTATGGCAATGCCACAAATGCCAGATCCATGTCAATCACATGAACATATTGCCATTTAAGCTTTACAATATGACTTCGCCATGGCCTTTCTTAGTTTGGGAAATCGACGTTATTGATGTAGTCTTGCCAAAAGGGTCAAATGGGCATGAGTTCATTCTAGTGGCGATTGACTACTTCACGAAGTGGGTGGAAGCTCAATCCTATGCAATGCTAAAAGCGTCGCATGTAGCCAAGTTCATCAAAAATAACATCATCTGCCGGTATGGAGTTCCAAATGAGATCATATCAAATAATGGCTCACACTTCAAGAAAGAGGTGGTGGATCTGCTTAATAAATATAGCGTGGCATTTCATAAGTCATCAACCTATAGATCATAGACCAATGGAGCTGTTGAGGCCACCAACAAGAACGTTAAGAACATCCAGCATAAGATGGTTGAGACCTAGAAAGACTGGCCAGATAAATTGCCATTTGCTCTCTGGGGCTACAGAGCGTCGATTCGGACATCCATAAGGGCAACCCCCTATTCTCTGGTGTACGAGACGGAAGCCATTCTGCCAATCAAAATTGAAGTACCATCCTTGCGAATTATGGCTGAGTGTCAGATAGCAGAGGCGGATTGGCAATAAAGCAGGTTTGAGGAGTTAATGTTGTTCGACGAAAAGAGATTGAGGGCATTATATCACATCTAGGGTTGCCAGCGCCGAATTGCTAAAGCTTTTAACAAGAAAGTTAAGTCCAGGTATCTCAAGGAAGGAGACATGGTACTAAAAGACAACCGAGCTCCAATCCATGACCCTAGGGGCAAGTTCCGACCCAATTGGACTGCGCCTTACATCATCAAATCTATCTGGTCAAGAGGAGCAATTATTCTCATTGACTTAGATGGCCTGGAGTTTTCACAGCCGATCAATATGAACTAGTTAAAGAAATACTATCCCTGAGAGGCTCGCTAGGCCGAAAACCTAGAAGGGCGACCTAGGCAAAAGTTAGAGTATGAAAAATTAGAAACAAAGAAAACTCCCCTCACTCCCCTCCCGTCACTCACGTCACTCCCCTCCCCTCACTCCACTCCCCTCGCTGAGTGGTGGTGGTGGTGGTGGTGGTGGAATAGGGGGAGGTGTTGGTGGTGGTATAGGTGGTGGCAGGGGTATTGGTGGTGGAATAGGGGGAGCTGTTGGTGGTGTTGGAAGAGGTGTTGGTGCTGGTGGTGGTGGGGGTGGTGGTGGAGGAGGCGTTGGTGGTGGTATAGGTGGTGGTGGTGGTGTTGGAGGAGGTATTGGTGGGGGCATAGGTGGTAGTGGTGGTGTTGGAGGAGGCCGTTGGTGGTGGTATAGGTACTGGCGGGGGTGTCGGTGGCGGTGTAGGTAGTGGTGGTGCTATTGGAGGAGGTGGTGGTATAGGTGGTGGTATAGGTGGTGTTGGAGGAGGCATTGGTGGTGGCGTTATCAAAGCTTTCAATTCAATTGCTGCCCCTCCCCCACCCCTATATATATATATATATATGCGGGAAGACTCAGGAAAAAAAAAAAATTTCACTCAATTTAAAATTTCTTCCCTCTACTCAACTATTCTTTTTTAACATTATTTCTTTCTTTTTTGTAATAAATAAATTTCACTTAATTTAAAATTCCCTCCCTATGCTCAACTATTCCTTTTTAACATTATTTCTTTCTTTTTTGTAATAAATAAATTTCACTCAATTTAAAGTTCCCTCCCTATGCTCAACTATTCCTTTTTAACATTATTTCTTTCTTTTTGTTGGTGGTGGTGGTGTTGGAGGAGGTATTCCTTTTTTTGTTTTCATTATTTCCTTTTAACGTTATTTCTTTTTTCCTTAGGCCTCGTTTGGGAACATGTTAATTTAGTAATTTTTTGACTATTTGGTTAAAATATGAACTAAAAAAAACTAGTATGTTTGGGATAACTTTTTCCCCTCCCCTCACTCCACTCCCCTCGCTGAGTGGTGGTGGTGGTGGTGGTGGTGGAATAGGGGGAGGTGTTGGTGGTGGTATAGGTGGTGGCAGGGGTATTGGTGGTGGAATAGGGGGAGCTGTTGGTGGTGTTGGAAGAGGTGTTGGTGCTGGTGGTGGTGGTGGTGGTGGTGGAGGAGGCGTTGGTGGTGGTATAGGTGGTGGTGGTGTTGGAGGAGGTATTGGTGGTGGCGGTGGTGGTATTGGTGGGGGCATAGGTGGTAGTGGTGGTGTTGGAGGAGGCCGTTGGTGGTGGTATAGGTACTGGCGGGGGTATCGGTGGTGGTGTAGGTAGTGGTGGTGCTATTGGAGGAGGTGGTGGTATAGGTGGTGTTGGAGGAGGTATTGGTGGTCTGCCCCTCCCCTCCCCTCCCCTATATATATATATATATGTGTATAGGCGGGAAGCTACGGAAATAAAACTCAGAAAAAAATAAATAAAGAAATAAATAAATTTCACTATTTAAAATTCCCTCCCTATGCTAACTATTCCTTTTTAACATTATTCCCTCCCTACGCTCAACTATTCATTTTTAACATTCTTTCTTTCTTTTTTGTTGGTGCTGGTGATGTTGGAGGAGGTATTTCTTTTTTTGTTTTCATTATTTCCTTTTAACGTTATTTCTTTTTTCCTCAGTCATTTTTTATTTTGATTCTTTTCCTTAATGGCTGTGGTGACCCACCATTCAAATTTATTTACTCTAAATGATTAAAATTAAAAATAATATTATTGATTTAGAATTTTTTTTATATAAATTAAATTTATTATAAATACGTCTCACACTACATCAAGTTAAATTTATATTAGGTACGTTTGAGAAGCCGATTGTGGGTTAATTTAGCCAAAACACGACAAAATTGGCTAAATTAGCCACAAGGCGACAAAATATGAATCAGCCTCCATTTGAACGGTAGCTCACATACAACAAGGGGTTAAATTACCAAAATGCCCCACGTTGGAAATGTTGAACCAATTAGCCACTACCGTCCACGTGTCCTACTCAGCTGCACTAAAGTATTACCTCAACCAGCCAAGTCATGTCAACAGCAAAAAGGAAAACGTTTTTTAATATTTTTAAATATTTTAATTTCAAAATATTACAATTTGAATTTTTTAAATTTTAAAATTTTTTATAAAAAAAATTCAAACTCTATTTTATAAAAATATTTTTAAATATTTTAATTTTTTTGTTAGGTATTTGGTTATGATTTGAGTGTAGAGCTATGAAAGTAGTATGGAGTTTCAAATTATGTGTTTGGTTATGAGTTTTAAAAATAATTTTTTAATTGAGTTTTGTTTTATATGTTTGGTTACGATTTGAGCGTAGAGTTGTTTTCAAATTTAAAATATTAAAATTTTAAATTATTTAAATTTTTTGAATATTTAAATTATTTAAATTTTTACGCTTTAAATTTTTTGAATATTTATTTTAATTTTTTACTTATTAAATTTTGTGTGATGCACCAATAAATCCCAATTTATCAACTTATACACTGTTTAGTCCCAAATGTTATCTTATGAACCGAACGGTCCTATTATATTGGAAATGACTATTGAGGGCATATACGTCGTGGACGGCACTGGTAAGGCTAATGGGCAACATTGGTAATTTAGTAATGTGAAATTATGGAGATAGGCAAGCAGTTTGGTATGCTATTACATTAGATGTTCCTGGTATAAAAAAATAAAAATGACAAAAACATAAATTTAAAAAAAATTATAAAAATTAAGCAAAATACGTCAAATCAAAATCCAAAATAAACAACTAAACAAATAAATATTTTACCAAAATACCTCAAAATAAAACCCAAAAATAAAAAATAAAAAAATTTAAACAAAATATGCCAAATGCAAACCTAAAATAAAAAAAATAAAAAAAAAGGTTAGCAAAAAACGGCAACTCCAAACCGAAAATATATTAAAAAAAAATTAAAAAAGAACAACAACTATTTCGGACAGTTGGCTTGCTGACGTGGACGACATGGCCCTTGCAATTAAGGTAAATGTGTTTTGGGAAGGGCACTTTGGTAAATTAACAGGAACACACCTCACCAAAAAGTCAAAAAGTCAAAAAAGTCAAAAAACCCTTCCCAAACTAGGCTTTTTAGCCCCAGGCTAAAATAGCTAAAAAATTCAAAAAGCCAAAAAGTCAACCCACTTCCCAAATGGAGGCATAGTCACTTTCTAAGTAAAATTTGTAAAAAAATCTTCAAAAAGAATCACACAATTATTGGACATACATCCTTCATGTATTTTATATGTTAATGATTGGACATACTTCCTGTTCAAATAAAATTCATTCACAATGTAATTTACCAAACACATCAGAATATTAAAACCAAACATTTTTTAAGAAGATATGATAATATAAATTTGAATCTCAGTTACACACATTATAAACTTAACCAACATTAATGTTTCAAATATTCGTGTTCAGTTGCCGTCTTAGTTGGTACGTAATGTTCCCTCTTACAGCTGCCATTGCGGGGTCGAAGTCCCCTTCCTCAATCACATCGGTAACCTGTGTGTATTCATCGTGGTCGAGCATTTCGGGGGCCACATATTCGGTGCTGTTTGGGATAGCCAGCGTGACCTCATCAATTTCACTGTGTCAGAATATGAAGTTATGTAACGCCATCGACGCACATACAAAGGTCACTTGATTAGAGAAACTCAACTTCTGAATATTCCGCAATGCCTCCCACCTCAACTTCCACGCACCGAATGTCCGCTCAATACAACTACGCAATGACGAATGTACCTTATTGAACAGTTTGAACTCATTCTGTGGTGTTCGATTCCGATGAGCATTTTGGTGATACCTATACCCCTTGTATGGGGCTAGGTACCTTGTCTTGTTGCTATAGTCGCTGTCCACCAAATAGTATTTTCCTGCAACGAACACAAAGATGTTATTCACTGTTGCCTAGTTGGTGACCATTTGGTTGTCACTTTGCAGTTTATAACTACAAAACTCAAAATTACTGCCAATAAGACATCGTTCGAAAAGTGTTTTTTTTGTTTATAAATGGTTGTCACCTACAATAATTTTAGGAAAAATCGTAATGTCAAATCAAAAGTTTATATTGTTTTTAAACTGACATTTCAGATTGTTAGTAACAAATAATTTTTTTTCAAGTCAGTTTTTTGTTTCAAATAATTTTTCTTGCAAGTAATTGTTTTTCAATTAATTTTGATTTTCATATACTGATTTTCCACCTACAATTTTTTTGGGTGAAATAAATACAAGTGGCCATTCTGTTTTTTTTGTTTTTTTTCCAAAAAAATAAATTTGCTATTTTTGTATTACTAATTTTTTTTTTTCTAATTTTGTTTTGAAATACTTTTTTTGTCAATACATTGTCTTGTCAAATACAACAATTTTGAATTACATTTCTGTTTTTTGTAAATAGTATTTTTAAATATTTTGTTTCGACGTAGAAATTTTTCAAATTAATTTATTTCATAAATTTGTTTATTTACAATTTTTTTAAAAATGATATTGTGTATGTTCGTAGTATCATGTGGACATGTTTGCATTATCACAATATTTTGAAAAATTATTATTTTTTAAAATCAATTACCAACTGTAAATAGTAATTTAGAAAGATTTTTGTGTTCAAGAGCAAGTTTGATGCCGTTTTTGTGTTCAAGAGCAAGTATGATGTCGTAATTTGTCTTCTATTATTTTAAAATTATACTACTTTGTTAAATGTTTAAAAATTTTACCAGGTGTGGGATGCGGGAAGCGATGTTTAGGCTCGGTTGTCACGTAGTGCAACACCCTACTATCGTGCATGTTCCCGTCCCAATCGGTTGACACAAAGGTGAAGCACAAATCAAAGTCGCATAGGGCCAGTATATTCTGTGTTGGCACGCCTTTCCGGCCATAGTACGAAATGGCGTACTCCATGCGAGACACAAGCCATCACATGTGTGCCGTCTAGTGCACCGATGCAGCCCTACGCAACACAACATTATTCAGAAAGTATAAATACAAAATTCAGGGTATATGTCGCCACTGTGATATTTAAAATTTTATGGAAAGTGTCACCTTGAATGGCCGGTACCGCCATTGCGGTTGTAAATGTGGGTGGCCCCCTTGTTGCACTTGCTCGGGCGTAAGACTCCTACTATGAACCGATGTGAACGGTATCATAGCTTGCAAAACCTCATGGAAATTGCGTGACAAAGTCTCCTTCGAGTGTTGGAACCGTTCTTGCAAATCTTTCCAATCCATTCCCTGCAATGCACAAATGAAAATGGCTACCTTCTCTTCCAGTGGAACGCCATGCTCCCGCTGTGGCAGTGTCAATCCAAAACTATGAAGCGTGTCGCATAACAACAAGAACACTGGTTTGGACATACTGACAGCATCTTCAAACTGGCCTTGGTGCCCGTTAAACAACTCATACATCCATAAACGTCCCGAAAGTATTGATGTATTTCGAGGGACTTTGTGATAATGGTTGTAATACTATCTAGCTGCATTGTTCCATGCCTCTATCAAGTTGTGATCAGTTTCGACCACCATTTCTTGCGCAATTTCACCGACAGCTTCCCGGGATGTAATATTTTGCACGTGACTATGACCATCGTCATTCGCCATTTCTAAAAAATGGAACGCAAAATATGCAAAAATAAAATGGGTGCTATGTACAAATTTAAGCACACAACTTCTGCAAAAACTATGGAAAATGAAAGAGTTTAAGGGAGATGGAGTGTGCGAGAGAACCACACTGTCAACATATGATTATATAGACATATCCATGATACGAGGAGAGATGAGCTTTGGTGGTGGTGGGTACACTTTCCTACATTTGAAGAAGTTCACTTGCTTGTGATAGTTGGGACAAGGACGGAGGGGCCTACGTCTATGATTCCCTCTTTTTTGGTTCACCCAAAAAAATTATTTGTGTTCAAGAAAGTGTATGTTGTGCATCCAAAAAAATAAAAGACACCTTGTTTTGGTATAATTTTTTTAAAAACAGTGTTCAGAAAATTCTATTTTGTTCCCATGCGTAATTTTTGTGTTATCTACCTTTTGTTCATATTTTATAGTCAAGTTTTTAAATTGATAGAACACGTGACATGAATTTACAAAAACAATAAGACAGTGTAACGGAAAAACGAAAATTGTATAAAAAATTAACACTAATCGAGAACAAAGTTATGCTTGAAAACAAAGGTTATGGCAAGAAGAAAAATTTTAAACTGCGAAAATAGGGAATCAAAGGAAAGTGTACGTGTGTCATCAACACAACAATGGGTTTCCTAATAAATTTTACAATTTTAACCGTTTCAGTAATTTTTAAAAAATAAGTACATATAATAATATTTATTTGTAATGATCATTGAAAAAATTT